TATATATATATATATAATAATTTGCAATAAACTCGTACATTTTTTTGTAAATATGAGTTTAATCATTGCTATAAGGTTTGTAGAAAAGATTTATTAATGTACATTGATTGCAATTTTTAATAAATCTATAACTGATATAATATTTGTAGACATGTTTTAAATATCTATGTATTTGTTTAATTGATTTATGAAATGTTTTTATTTATTTATTTTAACGGTAACATTTATATAATTATAATTCTAAAATAAATTACACAAATTATATGATATAATTTATCTGATATAATTATCATAATTTGCAATAAATTCATACATATTTTTTGTAAATATGAGATTAATCATATTGCTATAAAGTTTGTAGAAATTGTTTAATTAATATACATTAGTTGGGGCTTTTTTGATAAATTAATAATTAATAAAATATTGGTAGAAATGTCTTAAATATCATTTATTTATTTGTTTGTTTGCTTGTTTGTTTGTTTTTTACATTTTACTTTTAAATGTATTAGCAGTTTTTTTTTTTTCCAGTGATAGCAAAATAGAAATGTTAGCAAAGCATCTGAAAATAGCTCACAGAACCTGGACCTAAATGAGATAAGGTTGATGTAAGTTACACATGATGAACTGGTAAAATGACATGGCATCACCCCTCATTTCAGCTTCAGCACCTTTTCATTCGTTTCACGAGGAAGAAAACACAATAAGAGCTTTATGCTTTTTTCATTCGTCCAGTGGTTGTGACTGAATACTGTCAGATGATATAATAGCCACAAATAATGATGACTATATTGCTTTTTTCTCTCATCAATTCTTTTTTTTAACAATTGATTTTAAAAGTAAAATTCTGAAGACAAAATGGGGATTTTAGATAAATCTTCTGCTTTAGATGTCTGTGAAAAACAACTCTGAAATCTCAAGTACTGATTGACTTTCAGTTTCAGGTTGTTTATTAAGGCAAGACAATGCAGGTGAATTGGGTAAAACAATCACTTTCACCATACTTCCCTAGCTGATAAATTACATTATGACTTGCCATTTTTTTGTATATGTTTAAATATGTAAATGAAGCATCATCATATTAAATAAATCAAATTTGCATCTTTAGCAGGTTAACAATTTTTCTTTCTTTTTTTGCTCATTTTAAAATCTCTTTATATCATTTGGACAATAATGCAAACAGCAAGTAAAAAAAAAAAATCACATTTTCACTTTTCAAGTTTCATGTCTATTTTTTCATTTTTTAATTTGTAGGATGAAATGTTGTATAATCAGGCAAATATTCAGAATAAACACATCCCTCTCTAAAAACGTTCAGAAAATACAGTGCTCACATATACAGTTGAAGTCAGAATTATTAGCCCCCCTTTGAAATTTTTCTTTTTAAAATATTTCCCAAATGATGTTTAACAGAGCAAGAAAATTTTCACAGTATGTCTGATAATATTTTTTCTTCTGGAGAAAGTCTTATTTGTTTTATTTCGACTAGAATAAAAACAGTTTAAAGATTTTTTTAAGAACCATTTTATGGACAAAATTATTAGCCCCTTTAGGCTATTTTATTTCCTACAGAACAAACCATCGTTATACAAGAACTTGTCTAATTACCCTAACCTGCCTAGTTAACCTGACTAACCTAGTTAAGTCTTTAAATGTCACTTTAAGCTGTATAGAAGTGTCTTGAAAAATATCTAGTCAAATATTATTTACTGTCATCATGGCAAAGCTAAAATAAATCAGTTATTAAACTATTTATTAAATAGTTATTAAAACTATTATGTTTAAAAATATGTTGAAGAAATCTTCTCTCCGTTAAACAGAAATTGTGGAAAAATATAAACAGGGGCGCTAATGATTCAAGGGGCTAATAATTCTGACTTCAACTGTATAAGTACACATCTATCTTTTACATTCATATTTTTAACAGGAAGCACAATATTATAGTTGTGTATACATTAGGTTAGTCAGTACTGAAGCCAAGTCTGGAGCTTATCTAACACAATAACTTGCAATAGCGGTCCAAAAACTAGTACACCCACATTTATGTGTTATAGAAAAATATTAAGTACAAATTTAAATAAGAGGAAAAATCAAGAGAAGCAAAAAACAGAAAAATTTAATTGAAATTTAGTAGGTTGTAATTATTTTTGCAATATTTTGCTGGAATTTAATTGTATTTTCTTTCTATTTCTAAATATGTTTGGTGACTAAAATATTATTTTAATAAATATATCTGTTTAGTAAATCTGTTTTGTTTAAATGCACTAAAATGCATGGCCTATATTCCCTAAGAAATTAATACAAATATTCATTTTCAAAATGGGGTGTAATTATGCTGAGCACAGATAAGATTGAAGCGGTAAGGTTTATGTTCAGTATGTAGGTATGTAAGTGGAGATTTATGATTAAGTGAAGGAGAAAAAAATCCCACTTTTTAGAGAACAACTTAAGAAATATGTATTATAATTAATAAGGTGTGACAAAAAACACTATGTGTAATTTGGATTGTTATTTTTTATCTTTACATCAGACAAAAAAAAAAAAAGTACAAACCTCAAAGCTGATAAGGACATAAAAAAGCAGTGTTCTTGCCTGCAGTGTGTGCGTTTAAAGAGACCAAGAAATGACACTTCTGTCATCATTTACTCACACTTCCCTCGTTCCAAACCTGTTGAGAGGGGTCTGCCTTGTGCAGTGCAATCTGAGCTGCATCCAATGCTTTTAATGCGCTCACCTAACCGCACCCCTAACCCTACCCATCACAGTGACATCACTCACTCTATTAAGTGCATTGTGTCTGAGAATGCATCGCTGAGAGATGCAATCTCAGCTTGCATCATACAGGCTGCATCAAGATACTATTGAACCTGTTTGACTTTTTTTGTTCATGTGAACACCAGTGGTGGAAAGAGTACTAAATAATCATACTCAAGTAAAAGTACCATTACTTGCCTAAAAATGTAGTGCAAGTAGAGTAAAAAATATCTGCTGTAAATATTACTCAAAATATGAGTAAAAAGACCTTTTAAAAGTAGTCAAGAGTAGTGAGTATTACGCTGTGGAAAGCTGATGCATTTACATCTAATTTGTGAATGTGTGTAAACGTAATATTCTGTAGTGCATCAGGTTATAGCCCAGCACGCACACGATATAAGGTTAGATATAGGTCATGACTTTAGGTGACCAAAATTCAATGTCTAGCCAGCGTCTAAGGACAACGCTATTTTGATGTTATTTTGATGTGACGTTGGTTGATTTTAGGTTGTGTTAGAAAGTGATCAAATTCAACGTCGAGCCAACATCTTAAACCAACATCATATTGACGTCAAATGCTGACATTTATTCATCAGTTATGGCAACTAAAAACCAACGTCTGATAGACGTCATAGTGGTGACATCCACGCAACGTCAAGCTGTAACATCATTAGATGTTGATATTTGGTTAGTTTTAGATTGAACGTTGGACATTGATGTTGGCCTGACATTGAGTTCTGATGTCAACCTGATTTTCATTTCTAACGTCAATCTGATATCATGTTGATATCTTGTGCCTGCTGGGTGTTTAAGGTCATTTCGATCATCATACAGTAGACATTCATAATCTTCTCATCAGTGACATGCATCGTAACAGTCTCTGGGTCATTGTGTGTAAAGATTTTAGACATCTTTTTGGACACTTTTAATGCTTCCAAACAGTTTGTTGCAATTATGAATCGCCCATGTCTTGAGGTAGTTCATTATGATGCGATTTACCTTCTATGTGTGATTTGATTGGACAGGAATCACAGGATCGATTTTTATAATTCCCATAGACAAGAAAAAATAAAGTAGTGACTGCAGGTTGAAGGAAAGTAGTGATGTAAAAGTACCAATACTGCACTAAAAATGTACTCAAGGGAAAGTAAAAATACACATTTTTAAAACTATTTGGTAAATTAAAATTCCTGAGAAAAACTACTCGATTACAGTAGTTTGAGTATTAGTAATTACCACTGGTGAACACAAAATAAGATTTTTTGAAAAATGTTGCAAACTCGTAACCATTGACTTTCATAGTGTTTGTTTTCCCTACACTGTAAAAAAAATCCTGTTTGCCTTTAATTTTTAAGCTGAATCAAATGAACCCTTGTGAGTTCATTGAATTTATATAATGTTAACCTGACTTAAAACATTTTATACAACATATTATTAGTTACAATGAACTAATAAAATCATATGTTGTCATGACTAATTGATCATATCATTTTTTAGTGTACGTGGAAGTCAATGATTACCATTTCCAACATTCTTTAAAATATCTTGTGTGCTCAGCAG